CTGTTTTTCTTTTTTATGAAGCAAAGTTCAACCTAAAGAAGAGAGAATATATCAGGAAATGATTGTGATATAAAAAACAAAAATTATCACTAAAACTTTTTTTTAAAGAAAAGTTGTAATTCTAAGATTATGAGAGTCACCTGGTATTAAATTTAATGAACTGCTCTGCCCTAAGCAAATTAATCTGATTATTAAAACCTTTCTGAGGACAGAAAAAAGAAACCCCAAAGCAGGAGGTGAGGATCACTGTCCTAATAACCTGGTAACATTAGGTTGTATGCAATATTTGAAAACAGAAGTTGTAGATGAGAATGAATTAAATTCAATGCTGTCAAGGAAGGAGATAGCCTCAAATATTTGCACTACATTGACAATAACTAGCTGGGTGACCACTCAGAATACATATATATGTTTGTATTATATAGAAATATAAATAATAGCAGATATTTATACAACTCTTTAAACTGCTTTACATACATTATTCCAACTGTGCCTCATAACAACCCCATGAGCTAGGAACTTCATCTTCATTTTACAGATGAGGAAACTGAGGCCCAGAGAGGATAAGTGACTTCTCACACTCAGGAACAGAGTTTGGGTCCACATTCCTCCTATTCCAAACCTGTCATTCTATGCACTTTGTCATCCCCCAAATGCCTGGAATGTTCTTTTTCTCATCTTGACCTCTTGGAATCCCTATTTCCCTTCAAGACTGTACTACATTACTGCATCTACATCATTGAGGCTTGAGATAATGTGAGTTTTTGAAGGATTTCCAGCAGAGCACAAGTTATTTCAGGTACACTCCCAGAATCCAATTGAATCTGATTTCCAAGTACTAGCCTCACTAAGTATAAGGGAGCCCATCACCAGTATGCTGGACACTTGGTGATGAATTCTTAGCCCATGGTAACTCATCAAATAAGAAAAAGACAAAGCGTGGCTTCCTTCTACTTCTGTAGTGACAGAAGTGGAATAAAAGGGGGCAGAGCACATAGAGACTTACTTATCTTTTATATATACTGTTTGTTAACTTTTATTTATCGAGACTCTAAATGTGAGTTCCCCTTCTAAAGACTAATGAGAAGATCCATTACTAGAGAAACTACATCATATTAACCTTGAATTCATGCCATAAATTAAATCAAGAGAAAGTCATAGCTAAATGGAAAGATGGTTCACAGATTTTCCTTAGAGAGGCAAAAAAGGAATCAACAGAATTGGTTTTATTGTGTGCCCCAAGGCAACAAGAAATATAATTTCCTAGGACTTGTGGTCATTTGTTATCACAGACCTCATGATTAGTACTTTCAAAGAGATCACCATGAAAATAATGCAACTTATTCGCCAACATCTGTTGCAAAGGTAGAAAAGGTAGAGCAATTCTATGATGTCCTTGATAAAACCCTCCATATTAAATCATCATCTACTCTGAATCTTAGTGCCTTCAATGCAACGGTGAGACTAGATGAGGATAATGGGAAGTTGTCTTCAGCTTAAGAAGGACTTTGACAAAATGGTGATTGTCCAAAGGAGGGTAACCCAAATGGAGAAAGGCCTTGAGTCTATGACATATGAGGATTGGTTGAGGGAAATGGACATGTTCAGCCTATAGAAAATAAGACTCATGGAGCTCACGATAGCTATCTTCAAGTATTCAAAGGACTGCACATAGAAGAAAGATTGGATTTGTTCTGCTTGGCCTCAGAGAGCCAAATCAGAGCAATGAGTGGAAATGGTAAAGAGGTGAATTTATGCTTGATGTCAGGAAAATCTTCCTAATAATTAGAGCTGTCCAAAAGTGGAATAACCTGCTTCAAGATGTGGTGGATTCCCCCTCTAACTGCTCCTGTTTGAGGATGACACCATATTGGTTGTATGAAGCCCCAGAACACTGCAAACCTTACCGAAAGGGATCTGTAACCACTCCAAAAATTTTGGCCTAACCATCAACAGAGGAAAAATTGAGCGGATGAAGAATGTCTACTGTTCACATTATAAAATGTAGTTAGGTGAATAAACTACAGACCTTGTCCAATGCTACATACAAATCTGGCATAAACAATACGAATGGATAATGAGTTAGGCCCAAAATTTAACAGAAGTCAAAAACTTAACCGGATTGATTTCAGGAAATTGAAAAGCTTTTTAAGAATTTCAAACTTCTCCCAGAAGCAGAGGCTCATCTTTTTAACGTCAATATTTGGTGGGCAGTATTGTATGTTCGTGAGCCATGGAACACAATTGTCTCTGAGGAATTAAAAATGAGTACCACGCAAAGGGCACTAGAGATGCAGAGCATCTGCTTGTTGAACTGAAATGTCTCTGTGCAAAATGAATAAAATGGCCCTTAAGTTGCTAAAGTCAATATAAGCTCTAAAATTTATTGTTGTTTGTGGGACAAGGTGACAAGAGTTCCTATAGAAATAATCCCACATCTACACTGTTCGGTAACCAGAAGAAAGAGAATGGCGGGGTCTGAACATGACACAGATATTCAATTAAAAGATTTTTAAAAGAAATATTTCAATTAAAGAAAGACATTTGAAATTTTATTCAGTGGCATGAGGGGTAGGAAAGGGGCACAGAAAGGGAGGTGGGAGGGCACCAAAAACATTATTTGTAGGCTTTGTGCACGGTCTGGCCTTCACATCTGCCTAGATTCGAAGGATTGGAAGGGTTGTTTTGCCACAAGACCCTCAAGACCTGGCTCAATGCAGCATGAGAACAGAAGATCATACTATCATAGACTGAAACCTAAAAGGGACTTCAGAGGTGAACTAGTACAACCCCTTCAGTGAAATATGAGAAACTGAGGCCCAGGGAAGGACTTATCCACATTGGCAGACCCAGAGTTTGATCCTAGGTTCTCAACTCCAAATCCATCATCCTCTTCTCTGTCTCATGACATCTAAAAACATAATGTCAGAAATACATTGGGAATGTTCAAACAGTGGAGCAGTGGTCCCCATACCTGTCAATCATACTATCATTGTACAGGTATGGCCAATGTGCTGTTTTATGTTCAATATATACCCACCTCTTCTGCCACACACATACACACACACACACACACACACACACACACACACCACCCCTGGTTAATCACCACAACTTAAATATACACCTAGTTGTGCAGGGTGTTAAGCATATCATACAATAAGAACAAAAGCCTTATACTAGGCATAAGGTAGATGGTGCAGTTTACTGTCATAGTTTATTGCATGGACTATAAGTATTTCCTGGATAAATTCAGGCCCCAAAACACCTAACCTTGGGATATCTTGGGAAGGAATAAAGCATGTTTGTGACTTTAACTATCTGCATAAATTGCTTTACAACCCCACTATACTTTGCATGTAGAAACATAACCTTTGTATCTATACATGAGGACTAGCATCTTTAAGGAGTAAGGTTGCTAGTGAAAAATCAGGCTCCATACTGAAGGTCCATAAAACCATTGTCATATGATGTATAGATATCACTGCTTCAATTCTTGGCTTTGCTGAACTCATTGTCATATTTCCCCAAAGTGAATAATATCGAATATGTGTCTTGGTAAATAATGACTTCTGCTGAGAACTAAACTGTTTTTTTTTAAAGTTTCTCATTCATATTTAGTAATCAGATTTGTAGCCAGGTGGTAAAAATCAGAAAATTTCCAAACTCTGTACAGAGCACCACTTATTTCTAAAACTTAGGTAGAATTGGAACAATTTGTTGCAGCAAAATTTGTATCTTGGTCACTGGGTTTCTCTAGAATTACCTAACCCTATGGTTTTAAAGAATGAGGAAAAAAGAAGTCTAAAATGGCTTTTTAGGTATCCAGGGATACAATTGATTAAAAAAAATTCAGTGAGTTTACTCTGTGCCATTTCAAATATCATCAGCCTCACTGTTTGGGATTTAAAGTTGGCCTGCAGTACAAAGTATGAATGTGCCAGGGTTAGAAATGTGACCGACCAGAACTTTTGCTAAGGTTAGCCAAGGTTCAGAGGGTCATGACTGGGCCATTTTATCAGTCATGTCATGCATGCACCCGACTGCCTGGGACAAATACAAACTTTATCTGTCAGTTCTGTAAATCGACCATCTTGCCTTCTTGTGAATGAAGAAAAACTGAAATCTCACCTCTTATCTAACCCTAAGATTAAGTTTGCCCAGAGCTATTGCCACAGACCATTTCTTAGTAAAGGTGACAGACCAAAGACTTTTAATCTCATTCATTGCCAATGCAATGGGCTGCTCTTAACTTGGAAAGTAGATTTCTAATGGACTAGAACCTCAACTTCAAAAACATGTATTTCTGGAAGATTTACTTTAGTGGAGAATAATATCTATTCTACTTGTGAAATCAACATTGCAGCACTAGCTCAAGTTACTTAGATTATGAGTTATAGCAATTACTTTCAAAGGGTTTTCAGTTTTCAGTTTGGTCTTTCTCTGCTGAATCTGAAATGGTACTTATGTAGAAGTAACAAAAATCTCATTTGGGGGAGCCATTACTGCAAAAGTAATTATGGACAACAGAATTATTTCTAGAATAAAATACAATTTATTTTTTTTTCCCTGTTTCTCAATCTCTCACACATACATAGAATCACATTTTTTTCACAGAAAACACATTTATCAATGACAAAAATAAACATGTACACATTTTGAAATATGGTTTAATGACACAATGAACACAAAACATAAGCTCTCAGATATTCACTTGATAAGCTATCCAATAAGATTTTTAAATAATTAAAAAACCTGCCACTTTCAGAAAATTACCTTAATTAGGAATCATACAAATCCATGATTTTAGTACTCTTAAAATGTAGCCATGGTATTTAGAATTAAATTTAAGTTTTTGGTATTTAGGATGGTATTTAGTATCAAAGGCATTATAAATAACTATATAACATATATTTACAAATTAAATACAATATTAAAACCAACAGGGGACACTATAAAAAGCTTTATATCTACTTCAATTAATTCCTAAGTTCTCTAGAGTTTTCACTAACTAAATTTCACCCTTGAAATGCATAAATTTTGTAGGGAGATTGTCCACTGGGTACACAGTGGGACCAGTTTTCATGGTAGGAGGTCCATTTAAAAGTTGCCAATCACAATGCCTGACCAGCTCCACTGTAAATATTTTGAGAAGAACTTTTGCAAACTCTTTGCCTACGCAGGTCCGGAGCCCCCCTCCAAATGGAATGAAACTGAACCTGGAAGAATCCTCTGGATAAGGCAACAGAAATCGGTCAGGGTTAAATTCTTCCTTGTTGGTGAAAATGTCTGCAACATCATGGGTATCACAGATACTGTAGATAACATTCCAACCTTTGGGAATCTGGTACCCCTGTGAAAGAAGATGACAGACTAACTGTAACCTTCAGTTCAGTCACGGCAACAATAAAATGATAGCCCATTTCAATTTTAGGGCAAATTATGAAAATGAGCCTCTTTTAAGCAAGTTGTGATATACAAGACAGACATTCAGATCCATTGTAATCATAAAAGAATTTAACTCAATGCAGGGGGTTTAAGGGCAGATGGGGAGGGAGAGAAAAAAAAACAACTTACATGTAACTCAAAAGTCTTAAGAGCAATACGAAAGCCCCCTGGAACAGGAGGATTCAGCCTGAGAGTTTCCTTAATAACACATCCTATATACTTCAGTTGCTCCAAAATGTCTATGTCCAGTTTTTCATCTGGGCTGCTTTTGCAAAGTAAACCCTACCAAAAAGCAATAAAGGGGTGAATATTAATCCATTAAAGTCAGGATACAGCAAAAATCAACAGAATGTTAGTGAAGTGGAATCTTATAGAGATAGATAGATGTTTTATGTACATCCACATACATCAAACCTATATATGTATAATAAATATACACATGAATATATGTATACATATATACATATGAATATATTTAATTAATATCCTTGGGCAAGGAAAAGTCAGCAGTCAGCTGATGTGCTAAGGAGGTGAGGCTGAAGGAGAAACATAGAATACCAATTTACCATTCAAATTCAGGGAATGAATGCTAGGGTGGCTAAAACTGCCATGTTATTTCCCCTTCCTGAGTTTGAGAAAAGTTTTATATTATTAAGAAAATTTTACAAACCCAAGAAGGTGATTTCTTTAAAAAATATTTATCAAAGCTGGGTGACAGTTTTGCCTAAGCATTAGGTTCTACAAAACTGAGGCAGTACATAAACTCCACTTACAGAGTTCTATAATAGGAAGTTGTGTCTCCCCAGTTTCATGCAAAGCGGGTCAACTCTCTTTCCTATGCTAAATCTATTCTGTTTTGTCCACAACTTTAGGTGAGTGGAGAAAAGAGAATGAAATTGGCCACTGACAGAAACACACACCTTACCTTACTCTTTAGTTCTTCTCTCACTTTCTGAAGCACATGGTGATGGAGTCCTAGGTAAGTGATCAGAGATGTGGCAGCACTCGATGTAGTCTCATGCCCTCCAAAGAGAAGTTCAGTTGAAGACTGCTTCAGTTCCTGTGGCAGGATTCAGGAGAACAAGCATCTTAGGCAAGTAGTCACAGAAAAACTAAGGTGGATGGAGGGTGCGGGAAGGGGAGGGAAACTGGACTTAGTGGAGAGGAGGGGAAAAGGGAAAGAGTCAACTTTGCTGAGCTACAACCACATCTTTATACTGGTTTCCCAGGATTTTTTTTTTAACAGTGAATTCCAAAGACGATAGATGCCTGTTGTTTTCAGTCATAGCAGGGTTTGTGATCCAGATACCTTTAACATTAGAGACCTCTAAATGCTGAGTTTCTCATATCACCCAAGGCAGAAATCACTTTCCCTTGGACTATTACAAAGGTAAACTTTCCTTTAAAAAAAAAATTCAATTGTCTTTGCTCGAGGGCTGCTCCCTTTGATAAAATGTTCTGCTTGATTCGATGGCTGCTCCTTGGGGATTTAGGGGTAGATAATGGCTGAAATCTGGCCAACTTCAACCAAAGGCTGCCACCTCCGGATACACAGATTCCCCCCAGCATGGTGGCTTTAAGGATGTAGCTCGAGCTATAAAAGCCATAAGTCTGGACTTGAGTGACTCTGCCTGGAGGAGGAGGACTGGAAGGCCCTCTGGGTCTATCCTCTTTTCATCTCTTCTCTAGGTATCCCAGCGGCTACCCACCTGCATATCTAGCCTCTCGCCATTCTCCTGCGTGTGCTCGATGAGCAGCTGCAAAGCATCTTTGACACGGCAACCCCCGGCCTCGGGCTCCCGTTGTCTTCCCAGCTTGGCACGAATGTTCTCTTCAATGCGCGCGTGGATGAGGTTCCTCGCCTTCACGCCCTGTGCAGAAAAAGGCAACGGGACTCAGCCGGACTCACCATTGCGACTGGAACAGCTCCTTGCTCTGCCGGCCCTTGTCCAGCTCCACGGCGCCCACGCGTGGCCCTTACCCGGTAAAGTCCGCTGAAGGGCATATCGATGGGCAGGGAAAACAGGTTACGGATCATCTCCTCAAAAGCTTCCACTAATTCCCTCTCGCTGTCCCCGCTGGTCGCGCTGTCCGACTCGCAGCCCAGCAAGATGCGCATAGCGATTCGGAACATGAGGTGCTTCACCTCGGGGTAGACCAGGAGGCCGCGGTCGCCGCATTGGAGCCACCTTCTCAAAGTATTTCTTATTTCTTCAGCTATTATCGGCACGTAGCACTGCAACGCCTCCCGGTTGAAAGCCTGCATGATCAACTGCGGGGCGGAAGGCAGCTCAATCAGCTCAGAAGCCCGCCCTCCCCATCTTCCCAGAACCACCTTGCCCTCTAGTCTAGCCAAGCAACCCCAGGGTCCCTGTGTCCTGTGTGCGAACCTCCGGGGCTGAGAACAGGAGACTCCCAGGGGCCACGCCGCGATCGTGCCTTACCTTTTTGCGCTTCTTGTGCAAAGAATCGTGGAGGCTGGAGAGACAGCCGGAGCCCAGAATGGTCCGGACAGAGGCGGGCCAGTGCACGGACACAAGACGGTGCTCCCCCAGAAGTATCTGCCTCACGTTGTCCGCGCCCATGACCCGCACCGTGGGCCGCCCGAAGAGATGAGTCTTATATATGTAGCCGTACTTTCTGCGCTTCATCTCCAAAAACTTCCTCCGCTGCGAGGAAAAAGAGTAGAGAAGCGATGTAAACCCCCGGACGACTTCGCGCGTAAAGGCAGCATCTCGAGCTAGCTCTGTGGCCCCTGCGCACCAGGAGTGAACCAGGCTTACTCAGCGCTGAGTAGGGAGTCCCTTCGGGGTCGGGAAGGGAGAGAAAAGGACGGCGGCTATCGGAGCGCCTGCCTGACTGCTCGCGGAGCCAAGGGAAGAGGAAGCGTCCTGGTTTGAACCTTACCTGCAATACCATCTGCAGCGTCTCTCCGAAGAAGGGCAGCCCCATAGTCCCTGGGGGCAACGGGAGGCTGCAGCTGCGGTCCCGGGTGTTCAAGCAGTACAGGTTCCAGAGCTTGACCGCAGCCAGAAAGAGCAGCAGCGGCAGCACGGAGGTGCACAACGCGCTCGCTAGCAGGGCGGAGAAACCCATCGGTGCGGTGTCTCTACCTGGTTTGCGAAGCAGCGTGGTTTGAGCCCCGTCGTGGGCTTTATATGCTTCTCCTTTATATGCTTATCCTTGGTCAGATAAATTAGTTCACTCAAAGTTCATCTTTAATTGTGGATTGGGGCCCTGGCTCCTCCCCCCACAAGGCGCTGCCCAAAATCTTTAACTGTTTGCTCTGCACAGAGGCGGTGGCTTCCCTGGCTGCGCCTCTTTGGCTGCCCTGAAGAGCCAAGGAGCCGCCCATCTCCCTGGGACAAGGTGTTAAGATCTTCCCAGACAATAGAGTGTAGAGCCTGGGAGCAACAGCAGACGCCCGCGACTAGGTTTGAGGGAGGGATGGGCAGTAAAAGAAAAAATGCCCCAGGTTCCAGGTCAGCCCCAGGTCTCTCTGTATGACTAGAAGCCCTGAGGCTCTTGAAGCTTGCACTCTCTGACCCGGGAGGAGATAAAGCCCAAAGGAGTCTTTTCCCCTCCAGTCACCAATAACGTGATTTGGAACTCAGGTTTACAAGTCAGCCATTTTTTTTTCTGCCCAGGAAGGGCATATGACTGGTGTGAAGAAATTACCCTTTTATTCTTAGTGGAAATTGTATGCCATCATTACTGTTTCATGGGTTTATTGTTAAGTTTTGTCTGTGGTTTTGCCAGGTTTGTAAGCAGAGTTTGATGACTCCTGGACCATGGGAAGCAGAGGAGGTAACAGGGGAAGGAGGATGGAAGAGGAGAGAGATTTCAACCCTTCGGGTTCTGGCAAAAGTTAATGGCAGCGGGAGAGATGGGTAGAAAAAACTCTTAGAGGATGTGTTTTCAGCTGGGAAGCTGTTTCTGGCATGTTGGAGCCTTTATAGTCGGGAATTCGAGAATGCCACTCTTGCCTGGCAGGGCCCAAAGGCAGGAGCTTCTTGCCGAGGTGGTTTAAGGGACCCAGGTTCCCCTCCCCCGTTCCCACATGTTTCTTGGTTAGAAACTCCAGGGCGAATAGCAGCGGATATACGATGGGCCAGGATATAAAGTAGAGTGGATAGAGGGGCCTTCTGTGTTTGAAGAAGGTTGTATATATCATTCCTTCTCTCTCTGCAACAAACACTAGAACCCTGGGTAGGGCTCTGTGCCAAAAAATTAACTCAGCCACAGGGTTAGTGAAGAACCGCAAGGGTTAACCACACGATTAGCCAGTCAGCACCCCATTTACCAACCCGAGTGCTGCTGGGCTAAAACGGGGCTGCAGGGAGCCTGGATTCATACACCTGAGCCTGGACTCGACCGAGACTGTGGACGTGTGGGTCCTGGAAAGTGAGCAGCAACTGAAGAAATGTTTGGTAGCTGGGATCAGGAAGCCTCTCCAAACTGGCCTTCAATCGATCCAAAAATGTGGGAGAAAGAGCGATCAGGAAGGGCAGCCACCTTCTTGAAATCTGTCCCTGGCAGCGTTTGTCTTTCCCCTCTTGTTCCTACGGGCCGTCCCACCCACAGAGATTTTTTCCTGCCTGGGTCGTCCCTCCAGTAGCCCCAGAGGATGAAATGTCCAATTCGTCTCCACTGGGCGCGCCGTTGGGGGTCCTCAATGCCTGCAACGAGACTAGTTCCCAGGGAAACCTATAGGTGCCAGTGCTGGGGAGGTGGATGCCTTTTTGCAACCACACCAGCAGCTCGAATAAGCTGAAGCAGGAGATACTCTAAGCATCCATCTCCATCCCCGAGTCAGGCCAGGTTGTGTTGGACCCTTACTGGCAAAAGCCAAAAGCTCTGCTTGTTTTGGACAATAAGTTGTATAACGATGCCAAAAAAAAAAAAAAAAAAAGTAAAAGAGAAAAGAAGAGAAAATAAATTATTTTTAAAAAAAGTTTGTTTATTCTAATGTTAAAACCCCACGAAGTTATTATTTCCTTCTCCTACTGAGGCCACCCCTTAGCTAGGCACTGCCACATTGGAGAACGCTTCTCGGGCCTTGATGATAAGCGTTTGGCCTAAATAAATTTGTCGTCTGGATGCTAAACTAACGCTCGCCAGCTGCTCGCTGGGCGGGGAGAGGTCTGTGGCCGTCTGCGCTTTGGCCCTACATAGAGTCCAGCGCCTGGGCGGCCTCCTCGGACTGATCCACCTCTAAACGCTCCGCTGCTTCTGCCTTCCCTCGACTCCATTTAGCACATCAAGAACGTTTTCAGCAATTATGCCTTAGTACCTAGGAAAGTACTTTTGTCCTGCAAAATCCTGAATCAAGAGACTAGATTAGGTGGGGGAAACGGACCCTGGGCAGGTTTTGTTTTTTCTTTTGATGAATGTGGCGGTAACAGCAACCAACGCGGTAGATCATCAATGCAAAGAAAGATAATCTGGGCTAGTTATATTCCTAAACATTTCTTGAAATTTGCGAAGCACTTTGGGCTCCTGGGAACTGAAGGTCGTACAAATTCAGTCCCAAGCCACCACTTTTCGTCCTGAACCTCGCCTGCATAGGCAGGCTGGCAGGCAGGCATTGGAAGAGAAGCTAAAGACTCTTGCAGGTTAGCCTACACTGCTGCTAATAAAGTTGACCATCTTCTTGTGTCTCCAGGCCAGGGAATTGAGCTGGTTAGCAGGGGCGTGACCTCGGGGCCCTCTCCCATTCCTCTGTGCTGACCTGCCGGTGACCTATTCAGCCCCGGACCGTGACATCTGAATGAACTCTGCAGAGCTGCAACTTAGCCAAGTTCACCGGCCGTCAGATAACGAGATAACGCTGGCTTAAACACTGATAATTACCGCAGGAAACCCTTATCTCTAGTGACCATCGAGTCCTACGTGCGACAAAAAAGAATTGCATTGCAAAAGAGTGAAAGGGAACATTTAAAATATCTTGGAAAGTGGTCAATAAATTATCAACCGGATATAAACTCTGATCAAAGTACTGCTCCAGCTATCACTTCGCTGATGAGGCTTCTAGATGGTCGGAAAACAAACACAATTGTACCATTTCTCGGCTGGACTCCTAGGTTACTATTGCATAAAACGAGGAGGGGTGTGTGTCGGGGGGGGGGGGTAACACCAGGAGGAGAAAGCTGTTTGTTGAGTGCCTATGGTGGTGGCTGAGGGGGAGGGGCGTTGTTTGACAGGCGTTATTTGAATGGTTTTTTGCAAGGACGAGATTATTCCTGGGAGTCTGAGGATCAACAGGAAGCAGCCAAGCGCCCCTTACCTACGAACCCCCCGCCCCCCAGCACAAAACAAATCGTAACGTGGAAGGGAAACCTGCCCGACGGGCAGTGAGGGGCTGCGTGTCTCGGGCTGGCTAAGAAAGTCTTTTCCGCCTCGGGGGGAGGGAGGAGGAGAGAAGGGATTACAAAAGCTCCAGTGGCGTTTGGATAGGTCAGTTCGGTCCCTGCCCTAATTAAAGTTAGTCATTGACACTCATACCCACCGCCTACTGCTTTCCCTTCCTTTGGCTACAGAGATTTACCTTAAACGCAAGGTCAGGAGGGCAGGAGTTTCCTTCTGGTTCACTAAAGGGTCAACCTACCCACAGCGCTCAGTTTAGACTTTTAGCCCGACCTTTTCCTGGGTTGACCTGTCACATCTAAGAACCATTCAGGTCACTGGGTGGATGACAGGTTGCATGTGGGATGCTGTGAAAAAAGATTGTTATTAAATTATATGTGAGCTGGGTGTGAACTGAGTTGGGAACACTCCTGAGCGGCTTTAGAATGAATGCCAGGCCCATAGTCTAAAAGTAAGATTGTGCAGAGATATACACACATACATATGCATGTAGGTATACATACACACATCTATACATGTCCATGTGGGTATATACATATATGTGTGTATATCTATATGTGTATACGCTAGATGTTCTATTTTTTAAAAATTTCCACTTAAGTTCTTCTTTAATGCTGCCAAGGAAGTGTCAAAGAGGTTATGTCAGTATATCTCAAGCTCTGGTGGGTCCTACTAAGCTGGAAAAGGACTGCACATCAGGCTGGATGATGGACTCATCTATTGTCCAAGATCTGCCTACTATACTAAGAGAAACTCATCACCAGGCAGGGTGCAAAGTGATGAATTTTTCATTCACAGTAACTCGTGGAGGTTTCCAGCTGCTCTGGTAGAATGAGCACTCACACATAAGAAATTATAGATCCTTTGAGAATGGGACTGGGTGTTTAGGGCAAGAGGTCTGGACCTGAAGTTGTATCAATCACTCACATTTATAGGAGCATTAAACTAAAGCTAGAAAAAACCAACTAGTGCAACTACTTCAGTTTACAGAGATAATAATCACAACAACACAGAGAGTGATTCAAGGTTTGCAAAGTGCTTCACTTCTAAATTTCATTTTATCCCCAAGATGTGGAAGCTATTATTATTCCCATTTAACAGATAAGGAAACTGAGGCAGAGATAGGTTAAATGGCTTGTTCAGAGTCACACAGCTATTAAGTATCTAAGGCTGAGTTTAAACTCAGGTCTTCCTGATTCCAGGTCCAGCACGGCACCACCTACTTGCCCTCACACTTGAGCAACTGAGGCTGGCGGGGGAGTTATGTCTTGCTCAAAGTCATATAGGTACATCTATCTCCTTTGAAGAAGCCCTTCTGAGTCAGGTGCTATTATTATCAAGATTTCACAGGTGAGGAAATTGAGGTTCAGAGGTAATTGGTTTGCCCAGAGTTTGACACATTTAGTAAATGTCACATTCAAATCCACATCTTCCTGCCTTGAGGTCAAGCATTCTATCCACTGCCTCATAGTCTTTCTGGTGGCAATCTCCTCTATAGAAGAAATTCAGATGTAACTTGAGAGTCTCAGTATGGCCTAGGGCACTGAGAGACTGCGACTTTCCAAGTCACATTGCTAGTTTGTGTCGGAGCCAGGATTTGAACTCTGGTCTTCCTGACTCGGAGGTCAGTCCTCTATCATTTATGCCCTTCCTGCTGACCCTTACTTGAGGTGTACTTAATTACTAATGAAGTTTTTACATTCTGTTAAATTACTAATAAGGTATTAACATTCTATTTCATTGCTAATAAAGGAAGGAAGGATGCTGCTAAATGCTACAATCAGGGAAATCTCCGTTATATCTGAATTGCCAGGCTCTTCCAGATTCAGGTCCCTTGACTTGGCTTTGGAAATGAAAACCTCATCCCTAGGATAATTCATAGCATGTGGGATGGTAGGTTCTTCAGAAATCACCTAGTCCAATTTCTCCTGGCCCCCTTTTTTTCAGGGGATGAAACTAAAGTCCTGAGAAGTGAGAAGACTTGCCCACGATCACACAGCAACTTGGTAAGAAAGCCAAAATTCTAGATCAGGTCTCCTGGCTCTGAGGTAGCATATTATTATTAGTAGTAGTATTATTAGTATTAACAATAATAATATCACTTACTGCATGCCTGGCACTGTGCTAGGTGTCTTACACTTATTCTCTCATTTGATCTTCACAAAAACCCTGCAAGCTAGGTGCTATGATTATCCCCATTTTACAGATGAGGAAACTGAGGCAAACAGAGGTTAAGTGACTTGTCCACAGTCACATTGTTAGTAAATGCTGGAGGCTAGATTTGAACTCAGATCCTTCCTGACTCCAAGCCCGCCAATCTATTCACTTCGCCACCTAGTTGCCTCATAACTATAGAAATCTTAATATATTTCTTAAAGCCCTTTGCAGACTTTAGGGGAAAACTCAGGAAAAGTGGGTAGTATAGGTCCAAACAAAAGGGAAAAGAGCCTTTCCTTAGGTGGATGGATTAAGGGTAATAACTAGAAATTTAACAAAAAGTACTTCTTGTCTTTTTAAGAAGTATCTTGCCTTTTACCACTTGACCAGGTATGCGACCAGGAAATGGATCCATCTAAAGATCCCCTTAAGAGATTAGACTGAGATTCATTCCCTGGGAAGTAGCCTTTTCCATAAAATGGAAACGGTAAACCTCCTATTCAATTTGGGTTCTTGACATAACTCTGTAGGAAGCACCACATTCATTCCTTGAAGAGAGTAATTCAGAAAGAAGGGGATAGACATGCTTGTTAAATTATGGAATGTTAACCCAGACTGTATTTTAGCATATCCCTACCCTGTACAAGATTCATTAGAATGTTACCTAAAATTATCTTGGGTCTGAGTCAGATCATAGGGCATGGTGGACTTCGCCAGTTTGGACATTTCTTTCTTTAAGCTAGAAGTTGTTTGAATATCAGATCAATAATAATAAAACTATTTCTGGAAAACTGTTGCCTAAATCCAATAGTATAGCAATAGTATTAATTTTTATTTGACACCTAGTAAAAAGTTCTTTTGAGCAAAAGATTACATGGATGCCCTGCCCTGACAGAGCAGAAATAAATGAGTCAGATGAATAAGGAATCTGAACTCACTTTCTTCTTCCCTCCTCTCCTCTCCACTCCCCTTTCCTCTTCTCTCTCTCTTACACACACACACACAACCTTCCCATCTTAATGCCATTGCCTTTATTGATGATCTCCCATTTGTCCCATATCTGTGTCAGTACATAGTCGTGTGCATATTGTCTCTCCTCCCCCCACCCCAGTAGATTGAACTCACTGAGAACAAGGTCTCTCTTTTGCCTTTCATTATATCCCCAATGTTTAATGCACATAGTAGGCACTAGATAAATACTTGACTTGACTCCGACTCTTTTTATAGAGGCATTTAATGTTAGAACTGAAAGGTACCTTAGGAATCATCTTCTTCAATCCTCCCCCACTCCCTTTTCAGAAAGACCCAGGTGAAGTGACTTGCCTAAGGTCAAACAGCAAGCTAATCAACAAATATACCCCACATTTAAGGATAAGGCAAAAGTTACCTTTGGTTTGGGGCTACTTTCCAATCCAAGAAACAAAGTCTGTCGGACCTATCCTAAAGCCCAGTTCCACATCTTCCCTCTGATTAAGCTCCTCAAGGTAGGGTGAAGGAGTATCCTATAAGTGGCTAAGAAGATTCTCAATCTGACCCCTACACTTCCTTTTCCTGTTCCAGTCTCTGTCCCTAAAGGTCCAGGAGAATGTCCCCCAATAACAGCACCTGTGTTTGATCTTTTAGCCGAAGCCTCTGCAACCTAAAATTTATTCCTTGGCCTTTTAGCACAAATATCTAAAAAACATCCTAGTTAGGGATTTTACAGGGGTGGAGGTGGGGGCAAGTTATGTTGATTTCAGAATTCTGTCATTTACAGCTTAGAGAGTTGCCTGGGTTACTGAGAAGTTAAATGACTTTCTCAGTCTCACAGCCAGGATGTCAAAGGCAAGACTTGCCTGAACTGAGACCTTCCTTATAAACTACCCCCATGCTCTTTCTCAATTAATAGTGGATTAACATTCAACAAATTCTAAAAATATTAAACCAAATCTTCAAGATTACTTATCTGTCTAATATGCTTCATAATTGTTTTGGAGAGAAGAAATCACCCGAATAAGTGGAGGCACTATTGGTTCACCAGAGCTCAAAATGGAGATTTTACTCTCTACACCAGATAGTAGTTGGCCTCCTGTTCTGTGAAATAAATAGGTCTCAGATGGGATGGGACCTGCAGCAGGAGGTTTTACCAGGCGACCTCTGGCTCCAGCTATTCAGCTTTTCCAAGTCTCTATCCAGATGGAAGGTTATTTTCCATCCCCCCCCCCCTTTTTTTTCCCTGTTATTCTTTTTCTGACTTAGCCTATGGGGAAATGTTGCTATAATGTATCCAGCCAGGTAAGAAAGCACTAAGTGACTACAATCTACCAAGCGGGCAGGAATGTTGCCAAGCCGGGAGTCCTCGCCTACCCTGCGCTTTGGATGTTTCCCTCGAGCGTTTCCAGCCCAGCCTCAGCCCTAGCCCGCTGGGCCCCTTTGGAATCTACGCAAAGGCTTGCCCTTTTTTTCCCTGCAGTGATTCACTCTGCGGGCTTCCTCTCCTCGAACTCCAGAAGTTGCTTGCTCTTTGGATTTCAGGGAGAGTAAACCATCCCTGCTCGAGAGCGCTCCCCAAGGCCCGAATCTGGGTGTAAATTCTGGCTCCAGGGAATTCTCCTTCCATTTAGGCCTGGAACCAAGCTCAGCAGGGAGGAAAGGGGGAGGGAGGATCTGTGGAATTAAAAGACAGAGAGGAGATGGGCTGTCTCCGGTCTTATCCCAGGCGGACTGAGTTGTTTCCTTGGTCCCGGTCCTGCCCCTGCAGACAGGTCAAAAGTTCACAAGCTCCTGGCCGCAGGAGGGCGGGAGTGGGTAGAAAAAGACCTGGAGTCCGTCCACTGGGTGCACAATCGGTACGGTCTGCATGTCTGGGAAGCTGGCCGTGGCCAGCTCCCAGCGCACCGTACGCACCAGCTCCACCGCAAACAGCTTGAGGATGGCCTGAGCTAGCTCCTTGCCGATACAGCTCCTCACACCGCCACCGAATGGAATGTAGTGGAAGCGCCCAGCCCCCCGATGCTCTTCCCACGCCGGGCCAAAGCGCTCCGGGTCGAATCCCTCGGGCGGGCTCTGGTATACGGCCGCGGTCTCGTGAGTGTCGCGGATACTGTACATCACACTCCAGCCTTTGGGGATCTGGTAGCCCTGTAAAGAGGCGAGGGAGTAGAGGGTCAGCGCCCCGGAGAGGGTTGGCGGAGGTGCTCAAGAAAGAATCAAACTACATAGTGGGCTGGTGGAGTGGTAGGGTGGGAAAGAGGTCTCCTTGGGCCCCACTTAGGAGCAGAAGAAGGGTACACACTGGGGAAGATCTGAACTCTGGCCTCGACCTGCTAGTCTGGAATTCAGCTTTCGGGGGGGGAAGGGGGGGGGGGGCCGGAACCTCCATCTCAGTTGAAGGCTGCAAAGTCAAGGGGCTTCACAATTTGCTCTCTCTCCCTCCTCCTAATCAGAGAATTAAATGGAATCCTACTTGTGATTATTAAACAATTAACCCCATTCCTATTCTTAATATAACCTATTTTAATGTTATTTGGTGCTCCCTGGTCTCAGAGTTTTCATGGAAAAATTCTAAACACTGGTGTGTATTACCATTTCGTATTAATGGAGTACCAGAAAATTTCATTACTGTCATTAACTGGTGCCAGGCGTCCCCAAATGGTGCACCATGCCACACACCACCATGTGATTATAGGTACCCTGAGCACCAAGAGGGCCTGTTTTCTAGGGGGTTGGGGGCCACTGAATACACTCTGGTGGCAGAGACTTTAAGGCCTGGCTACAGTCGGAAGGATTCAACCAATCAATACACCTTCATTCGTTATTAACAGTGATTCGGGACACCCTGCCTGCTTGGTTGCCATTTGGTGACTCCATGCTCGAGGTTTGCATTACGAGTGGGTGTGGGTGGTGCTATGAGTAAAGCGCTTACAATTGAATCGGGGAGTGGCTCGTAGGCTCCAGGGTTGAGATAGCCCCGGCAGAAAGAAAGCAGCCGCGCCACGACAGGAGAAGTGGGTGTTAGAATACGCGACTAGAACGGTCCGCCCCAAAAAATTAAAAAAAAAAAAAAAACCTGCAGCGTCCTGGGTTGCTAGGCGTGCGCCACTTACGTCCAGCTCGAAGGTCTGCAGCGCGGTGCGGTAGCCACCCGACACCGGCGGCAGGAGGCGCAAGACCTCCTTGATTACACAGTCCAGGTATTGAAGGCGGCTTAGCTTCTCTAGGCTGAGGTCAACATCGCACTCACATTCCGGCCAGCTCGATGCCTCCAGCCCTGGGGAGGAGCGCTCGAGGTCCGCTCGTCCCGGCTTGGCGTTCGGGCAGCCGTTCCCAGGGCTCGTTTTCTCTTGCGACTCTGGGGCTACGGGAACGGAAGGAGGCTGCAGGAGAGGGCCGGTCTCTCCTCTCACTTCTGGTCTGCCCCAAGGGGTCCTCCGTTTCTGTTCCTCTCCGAGAGTCTCCCTTGAATGCAGGTCCTTTCCCAGCCTGACGAGGTCTGGGAAGCCCAGAGGAGGCCAGCAGGAACACCGTCTGGTCAGTTCGTGAGAAGCCAGCTCCTGCCTGATTTTCTCTATGGAGGCAGGGTATTTCAGGAGGAGGAGGAGAAGGGACGTGCTCGCGCTGGCAGTTGTGAAGAAAGCAGCGAAGATCAATTCTATGGCTGACTCCTGCAAAGCAACCACGAGAAATCTTTAGTTTCCAGTGAGCAGGTGTACCCCTTTAATGGGACCCACGAGTTCCACGAAGTTAGTTGTCTTGCAGTTTCTTCAGTGGGAGTGATTTTTCAACCTAACCAGAAGCTCTTGGGGTCTATATATTTTTTAAACTCCCGTCTGTAAAATAGCGCGCTTTGAGATTCACAAAGGACGTTCCTCACAACAGCCCAGTGAGGTAGGTTTTAGGAAAGAACGAAAATTGAACCTTTCTTCACAACTACAATCCAATTAATTAGGGAGAAAAAAACAAACAATTCCTAGGATTTGGGGAATTAGGAAAAAACAACGGATTCCCCCATGCTAGGAAGGATTCCCTTCTCATTTCCACCTCTCAGAATGCTTAGCTTTCTTAAGGATTTAGCAGTGACACCTTCTACGCAAAGCCTTTGAAAACCCCCACGTTGTTTGTGCTCTCTCCCTACTCAAATTACCTCGTATTTACTTAGCAGTGGACTGCTCGTATATCCCTCACTCTGCCGCCCTTAGAGCTAGGACTTTTTTCCCCCTTCTTCGTATCCCAATTGAGTTGAGATAATATACTGAATGCCTTGAATTCTTATGCACGTACGAGATCTTAAGATTAATTTAGCATTATGTTGCCAACCCGGTCCAAGAGCCCCACCCCGTTTAATCCCGCCACAGTGCGCTCATCAATCTTTGCTGACCCCACTCCTTCCCTCCTCCCAATAGTTAAATACCGCTCCCCTTCCCAACTGGCCTCTGGGAAGGGTGCTCCAAGGCAGGAAAACTGGGTACGAATCCCAGCTCCTTCACCTACTCTCTGTGTCTGACGTTGGACAAGTCATTAGACTTCAGGGCTTCAAGAGTTGGGCTGATAGTCACTAACAAACAGTCCATATCTAAATCTGGATCTATTTCCAGGACATAAGAGAACGAACAACACTAAGTCAGGACAAAGGCAAGCCTGGTGGGAAAGGTTCTCACTAAGAAAACAGGCTTTAAAAAAATCCTAGTCTCTTTGCCCCAATTGCTTCCTACTTAAAGCTGAAGGGACTAGTCCAATCTCTTCATTTTACGGATGAGGAAACTGACATTTGTATAGGGCTTTCCATATTAGGAAAAATTCTCATCCATTTCCTCTCTTGGTCTTCATAGCACCACTTTTAGGTAGAGAAACAAAGGACTGTTATCACTGTTTTACAGATGATGAAACTGCAGACTAGAAGAAGTGCAGAGATTTGCTCACGAACAACTGGGTAGGCAGTCTGCTATCCAGTGATGCTGGCCGCCGAGCTGTTCCTCAAACAAGACACCACCTCTCCCAACTCCATGGTATTCACTGTCTGTCCCCCAATTCTCTCCCTTCTCATCTTTGCCTCTTGACTTCCCTTGGCCTTCTGCGAGCTTTTTCTGCCTCCTTATTTCCCTCTGTTCATTATATCCAAGTATATCTTGTTTGTATATAAGTGTATGTCCTCCCCCATCCCCCACCCTGTGAATTCCTTGAGGGCAAGGACTGTCTTTTGCCTTTCTTTATTCCCAGTGCCTAGCACATAGTAAATGCTTAATAAATGTTTACTGCACACTGATATCACATCTTGCGGCAATATTAGTACCCTACACCACACGAGCCACTTCTGCTTGAACCGATTACCCATATTAGCAACCACCTCTGGGATCAGTCACCATTCCTTCATATTAGAGGGAAAAAAAGAGTCCTTCGGGAGACCCAGGCTTTGACAGCATCTGAATAAACTACACAGTGGGAAATCTAAGGACCATGACCAGGCACAACTAGCTTTTTGGGGAACCTACCCTTCCTAGGGGCAGCTAAATGTCACAGTGGATAAAGTGCTGGGCCTGCAGTCAGGAATTCTCGTCTTAATGAGTTCAAACCTGGCCTCAGACACTTGTTAGCTGTATCTCTCTGGGCAAGTACTTACTTCACCTTGTTTGCATCAGTTTCCTCATCTGTAAGATGAGCTGGAGAAGAAAATGGCAAACCACTCCAGTATCTTTGCCAAGAAAATCCTAACTGAACCGATTAAACAATAACAAACCTCCCTTTCCAGGAGGTTCTCTGGGGAGAGAATAATGGGAGAATGGGTTTCCCATTATCTTCGTGGCTGATTCACTCAGAAGCTTAAGCAGACAACAGGAAATGTCATTAGGCAGAATGAACTTAACACCCAAGGGGAAAAAGCAACTGAGATCCACCCTACAGAAGCCAATCAAAATTCCCCAAGCATGTATAAGGGGCTCACTAAGCAAGGCAGGGCAGTGCAAAGGGCTTGTGTGAGGGAGCTTACTTTAGATTAATGCTATGCCAGACAGTTCCAGGGACACCTGTGTCTTCAGACAGAGGCTTTGTGGTTCCTCTCCTGCCCAGACCACAAATGCACAAACTAAATCTTTGAGGAACTGAAGGCTTTTAAGAGATCTGCCTATTACGGGTGGTGAACCTTTGGCTTCCAGGCCACATGTGGCCCGCTAGGTCCTCTAGTGAGGCCCTTTGACTGAACCCTTCATGATGGCTTTGTACCTTTGCTGTAACATGTGACTTATCAAAAAAAACATATCAAGAGGAGTGGAATTTTCTGGCATTAAAATATATGCATTTATATAAAGTATTCCTCTTTGTATGCAATGCCCCAGGTGGGTACCTTCTCTTACAGTTTTCTTTGCTAGGATATGGTTATGGAGATGGATATTGATATAGGATTTAAAGGGTAAAGGATACAGGATACTGATGAGTCAAGGACTGCTCTGAGATTTCCAGCTTGAGGAAATGGAATTGGCGCACTGGAGGTCAGTTCAACTCTCAGTGTTTTCTCCCCAGATTCTGACCCTGGGTCAGGGTGCATTTCCTAGTCACTTCTGAAGACTACCAAAGGTGATATTGGATGCTGGGTTTTGGAAAGATAAGACAGGAAAGGGGCAAGATCCACATTCTGTCTTTATTTTGGTCTTAATAACAGCCAGCACTACCACTGCTCCTACCCCTCTGTGAAAGCATAAGAAAATAACCTTAATGCAAAGGGCCCAGATTCCCAGATGGGCCTGGAGGGAAAGATGAGGAAAGAGTATGGGGGAAAAAAACAGTTAGGAAACCTACTATGTTCTGTTACTTGGTATGTCTGAGTGTGACCTTGGCCAAAACATTTCCCTTCTCTGGTTGGCTTCCTCACCTATAAGAAAAGAGGGCCCCTCCCTTTCAGTTGTAAAACTCTGATGATGAAAACCCAAATGGAGTAAATGCAAATTAAGAGGGTAGGAAAGAAAGGTTCTAGAGAAGTTGAGGAAAGAGGAATGGAAGAAAGGACATTGTCATCTCTGATCTTCCCCAACAGAATCAACAGTGCCTCCTAGCATACAGTAGATGCTTAATAATGACTTGTTGATCTGTTATTAGGCTGTGTGTGCTGCAATGGATAGATAAATGGATTTGAAGTTAAAAGTCCTGGGTTTGAATTCTGGTTATGCCATTTACTACCTGTGTGACCTTGGAAAAAATCATTTGTGAAATAGTTTATAGTCTTACTTGAACTTTGCATATCTCCTGATATAGTACCCAGCCTTTGCATATCTACTAGTACAGTCTGTTGCGGCCCGCCCCCCCCACATAGTAATCAGTTTTTTGAATTGCAAGAATAAAATAAACTAAACAATCCTTCTAAATATCAAAAAGTCCATCTAAGAAATTTGCAATTTTAGCTCTTAAGAACAAGTAAAATAGCCTATTCCAGGTACAATACAGTTAAACCTCAGTCCATCAAGTAATTAAATTTATTTTATTTGGTTTTTTATTTTTTTTTAGGCAATTGGGATTAAGTGACTTGCCCAGGGTCACACAGCTAGTAAGTATCAAATGTCTGGTCTGAGACTGGATTTGAACTCAGGTCCTCCTGACTTCAGGGCTGGTACTGGCCATCTAGCTGCCCCCAATTAAATTTATTTTAAAAGCGTTATCATCTAAATACTCCAGCTTGTGGGATAAGAACTCACTGTTTAACAAAAACTGCTGGGAAAACTGGAAAACAGTATGGCTGAAACTAGGCATAGACCAATATCTTACACCCATACCAAGATAAAAATCAAAATGGGTACATGATTTAGATATAAACACTGATACTATAAGCAAACTAGGAGAGTAAGGAATAGTATACCTATCAGATCTATGGAGAAGGGATGAATTTATGACCAAAGAGGAGATAGAGAACATTATGAAATGCAAAACAGATGACTTTGATTACATTAAACTGAAAAGTTTTTGCACAAACAAAGCCAACGCAACCAAGTTTAGAAGAGAAGCAGAAAGCTGGGAAACAATTTTTACAGCCAGTGTTTCTAATAAAGCCCTAATTTCTAAAATATATAGAGAACTGAGTCGAATTTATAAGAATACAAGTCATTTCCCAGTTGATAAATGGTCAAAGGATATGAACAGGCAGTTTTCAGAGGAAGAAATTAAAGCTATCTATAGGCATATGAAAAAATGCTCTAAATCACTATTGATTAGAGAAATGCAAATCAAAACGACTCTGAGGTATCATGTCACACCTATCAGATTGGCTAACATGACAAAACAGGACAATGGTAAATGTTGGAGAAGATGTAGGAAAATAGGAACACTAAAGCATTTTTGGTAGAATTCTGATCCAACCATTGTGGAAAGCAATTTGGAATTATGCCCAAAAGGCTGTAAAATTGTGCATACCCTTTGACCCAGCAATACCACTTCTAGGTGTGTATCCCAAAGAGATAAAAAAAAGATGGGAAAAGGACCCGCATGTACAAAAATACTTATAGCAGCCCTTTTTATGGTGGCAAAGAATTGGAAATTGAGGGGATGCCCATCAATTAGGGAATGGCTGAACAAGCTGTGCTATATGAATGTAATGGAATACTATTGTGCTATAAGAAATGATGAGCAGGCAGATTTCAGAAAAACCTGGAAGGACCTATATGATCTGATGCTGAGTAAAGTGAGCAGAGCCAGGAGAACATTGTACACAGTAACAGCCACACTATACGATGACTGACTTTGATAGACTTAGCTCTTCCCAGCAATGTAAGGATCTAAGACAACTCCAAAAGACTAATGATGGACAATGTTATCCACCTCCAGAAAAAGAACCATGGAGTCTAAATGCAGATAGAAGCATGTTAGTTGCTCTCCTTTTCTTTTGTTGTTTTGTTTCTTCTTTCTCGTGGTTCCTCCTATTAGTTCTAATTCTTCTTTATGTCATGACTAATGTGAAAATATGCTTAACATGAATGTGTAAGTAGTGCCTATATCAGATTGCATGCCATCTTGGGGAGAGGGGAGAAGAGGAAGGGGGAGAAAATTTAAAACTCAAAATCTTATGGAAGTGAATGTTGGAAACTAAAAATAAATTGTTTTTTTTAAAAAAAAGTATTTATTTAAACACCTTTGCCAGGTACAGTGCTAGGTGCTGTGAGACACAGATTTAAAAAATAATGAAGCAATGCCTGCCTTCAAGGAGCCTGAAATCTTCAGGGAGAATAAAACCAAATATCATATTCAAAATTCAACTAATAAGGTAGAATTAAAAAAAATTCTGATGAGTCAAATATAAAGAAAATGGGCTCATAATAGGAATTTTAAAAAGTAGATTAATGGTGTACCTTGACTCATGTAACTCTGGAAAAGACAAACGTACCTCTCTGAATCTTACCTACTCTGTCTGCCTCTCTGGGCTGTTGTTAGAACCAGTAAAAAAAATTAAAAGGATAAAAGAAAAAGTCCCCTGTGTGACATTAGAAGCCCGTCTTGCTCTGGCTTTAGATCTGACCAAATTGACTTCATAATTCTCTCTCTCACACAGGCCACATTCAACCCAAACTGATCCACTTCCTTGTCCCCACATGTGGCATTCCATGACCCCCTCCTACCTTCATAGGAAGTATCACAGTACTCAGAATGCTCTCCCTCCTCACCTGTGATTTTTGGATTTCCTCCTCCAGGGGGTCTTTCCTGACTGTCCCAATGTTAGTATTCTCTCCACTCCCCAAAATTACTTTGTGTTTACTTTTTATGTATTTTTGTATCTACTTATCCTAAACTTGTTGTTTCCTCCTCCATAAAATGCATGCTCCTTGGGGACAGGGACTGTTCCATTTTTGCTTTGTATCTCCTGGAGTCTAACCCAGTGGTTTACACCTAGTAGACCCTTTAGAAAAATTTGATGAATTGGATAGAATTGAATGGGGGGGCAGGGAGGGTGGGAAGGTCTCACTGGATTTGAGGTCCCCTCCAGTCTATGGTCCTGTGAATGTTGGATACCAGACCAGAAGTGGTTTTGCTACTTCCTTTTAGAGGCATTGTGGTTTACTACAAAGAAGAAAGGACTTGAAAGAATATCTGCATTTGGGTCCCAGCTTTTAAACTTAACAGTTGCTACCTTGAGTAAATATAGACTCAGAAATTCACAACTAGAGGGAACCTGAGAGAGCATAGATGCCAAGCCCTCATTTAACATAGTGGGCATATAATAAATTCTCTACTGAATTGAATTCTGACAACCAAATGCATATTTCTGGGTGTGTAATGTAAGTAAGGCAAAAACATACTTTCTGGGTACTTAATGTAAGGAGTTTTCTTATTTGTAAAATGGGAAGAATAATACCTGTGCAACGGAACTTAGTTTTGTTAGAAGAATCAAATGAAAATATGTGAAAATAGTTTATATCAGTAAAGCACTGTCCTAATGTCATTATTGCCCAGAATAGAGGACTTTTCACTTTCTTGAGTGACCCCACATTCTCTGTCATCCCTATGGGTTGTTCTGAGAAACACAAGCCTTGGGTCTAGGTTCTTTCTTTGCCTCCAAGCTTCAGGCTACAAAGGCATGGATTATCCTTAAGGAAAGACCCACCCAATCAGATAGGGCTCCTGGGATAGTGGGTTCCTTCCCAGTTTCCATTGGGTATCCATGCAGTGTTTTCAGTGTGAGATGCAGTTGAGGCGAAACCTATTCTACAGTCAATAAGCTTTGTCTCCTGGATTTAAAGAAATTTAAACTACAGAACTCTTTACCCATGCCCACAGATCCAGATAATCTTCCATCCTCTTTTCCTCCCCTTCCTTCCTTAGTCCCTAGATCTGTAACCCTGGATCTGCTCCCATACCTTCAGTTCCTGCATGGTGAGTTCCCAGCCTTGTTCTTTGGCACTGTTGATGATGAAATCCAGAGCATCCTTCTGTCCTCCAGGCTGTTCCCTCTGCAGTTTCTCCAAAATGGCTTTCTCCATGTGCTCATGCAGTAGGTCTCTGGCTCGGATTCCCTAAGGCAAGGGTGGTATGCAGGGAAGCCCTTCCTCTTTTGCCATGGCAGGGGATCTAACCTACCCACTCTCCATACCATCTTTTCCATGCCTGGTCCTTTAAGACCAAGTCTCTGGCTTTGGTGACTATCCCATAGCTTTCTCTCCTCAGGCTTCTTTCTTCCCCAACTCCTAAACCAGAGGCCCAGGGCCTGCCTCCAATCGCTCAGACATCAGACCCTGATGATCCCAGGGAAATCTGAAACAAAGGATTGGTACTAGGACTTCTAACAATTCCAAGAAAGCAGAATGAAGAGGGAGGCAAATGAGATGGGGTAAGCCCTGGTAGAAATGTCTCAAATGACCTCTCTTTGATAAAATCTCTTCTGATCCTGTACCTGTCCATACAAGGAGCCCACCTCCAACTCGCACCATTTCTCTAGCCTTTAAAAGAAGGATGGATAAGAAGATTCCATTCTAGGTCTTGATATTAACAGAAATCCAGGCACTAATATGGATCCTAATTTTGAACAGTGGAAGGAAATTCTGACTTCTGTGGAAGAAACATCAAAAACCTTAAAAGGTCCTGTGAGTATGGAGGAAGGTATCCTGCTCTGTGGAGAGGGGTCCCTCCAGCAGCTAGGGGATAGGGCAACGTAACTGGCAGGAAAGCAGCTGAGAGTAAAGTACATTGCAGAACTTAGGTAAAGAGAGGAGAATGAAATGTGTAATTATTAGAGAAGGATGGCCTGAAAAAGTAGAATTGCTGGACTAAGAAGGGGTCTGAATCCCAGCCCTGACATTTACCAATGTGTGGCAATAGATAAGGCGCTTAATCTACACCTGGGTTCCTCCTCTGTAAAATGGGGATAAAGATATGTACCACCTACTTCAGAAGGTTGCCGTAAAGCTCAAATGAGGTAATATTTACAAAGTACTTTGCAAACCTTTAAAGAATCTATATAAATGCCAGCTATTGTTGTTTTCATTCTGTCCAACTAGAAACCAGGTAAGTCACAAAGGAGGAGTTAGGAGCCTACGGAATCATCTCAGGGAAAACCAGTTTAATTTTATCAGGTGATTAGCCGGCAACAGAGAGCAGGAAGAAGTGTGGGGGAGGTCTAGAATAGTTCATCGTGCTCTTTATTGCTAAGAGATGAGATGTTTTTATTTAACATAGCGCTTTACTGGCAGCCAGCCAAGGTAAGGGTTTGGGGTCTCAGCTACCTGTGGCCAGAGGTTTTCACCATAGCTACTTGCCCCTGTTTGATGCCTGGGGAATTGCTCCCCAGCTTCTCCCAAGACAAGTGAGATGGGAAGAAATCTCAGGTTATTGACACTGACCTGAGGAACCTGAGGGAGAGAGGCCAAGTACAAGTCTTCTAAGGACAAAGGGCTGAGTGCCAAAAAAAAAAAAAAAAAAAAAAAAAAGCTGGTAAAGAGATCTTGGCCGGAAGGGAATTCCCACACCTAAGAATGTTTTCCAGTAGGATGACAGGTTCTCTTCTGAGACTATGGATTGAGTTTTTTTAATAGACGTTTATTTGGCACTTTAGTGTTTTCAAAGTGCTTTATATGGTATCCTCATAGATTCTATTATTATCATCTTACTTCACAGATGAAGGGGCTGAGGCTGAGAGAAATAAAGTGACTTGCCTAGGGTCATACTGTCTGCTCTCGGCGTTCCTAATTCCAAGTATTCTGCGCTAAACTAGCCGATCTCCCCGAAGACGCCTTCCCCAAATCACCGATTTGGAGCTGGAAAAGGCCAGAGATCTGCCCTTCAAGGCACCTAAGTTCTGGGAGTGAGTTCTACAAAGGAAAGAATCCAACCGGCTTGAGCTTCCCCAGAGGCAGGAGGGGAATGACCGGAGCGCTCCCAGGATTGAGACCGAGGAAGAAACTGGGAGGACATTTCTCTCGAGCAGTCCTAATCTTCTCCCAAGTAACTTGGCTCGTGCTTTCCCCAGTGTCGGCGGCGAGGGACCTAGTTCCCAGATACAAAGGCCTTCTCCCCTCACTCCAGACTTTCCCAATGCCCGCTGACTCGAGTTCCCCGACCAGCCCAAGGAAAGAAGGGCATCACAGTACCTTGCGCAGACCGCTGAAGGGGACGTCCAGAGGCAGGGAAAAGAGGTTTTCCACGAGTTGCTCGAACGTCTTTGCCAGTTCGTTGCATTCGCCTTCGTCCAAGCGCAGACCCAACAGGATCCGCGCGGCGATGCGGAAGGTCAAAGCCTTAGTGGCCGAGTACACCGAGACTGGTCCCGGGACCCCGCACCAAGCCCAAAGTTCCCGCCGCAGCGTGGTCTGGATGCGCGGCATGTAACTTTCTAGTGCTGCGCGGCTGAACACTCGGGCCAGAATCTGCAGCGAAATGCAGCAGCTCTGAGTTCATCAGCCTGCGGCTGGGCTAGGGGCGCTAACGGAACCATTCCCTCCCCACGCTGCCACCGTAGCCCAGGGGCCATCCTTCGGTCTAGCCTCTTACGCTTTCGGGAAAATAGAAAAATTAAGCAGCCTTGCTACTCTCACTCCTTCCTAAGCCAGCCAAACTCCTTCGCGCTTGCGATAAACTAGCCGATCTCCCCAAAGATGCCCGGCAGGGCCTTCCAGCTGTAAACTTCGGGTACCCTAGGATTCCACTCTGACTGCCTACCCAGACCCGAAGTGCGTTGCCTCTCGGACTGACCGACCTAGCTCTCACCTTGCGACGCTGTCGGTGGGGCTCCCCTACTGCGCCCAGAAGTGTGTGAGAGCCCAGCAGGATGCGCGCGCTCTGAGGCCATTGGCTGCTCACCAGGCGGTGCTCGCCCAGAAGGATGGTGCGCACGTTTTGGGCGCCGCTCACGCGGATCAATGGCTTGCCCAGCAGGTGCGTTTTGAATACTGTCCCATAGCGCTCCCGACGAGAGCTGTGAAACCTGGAACCCTACGATTGGGAAGCGATGGGAACAAAGAGAATCGGGGAGGAAAGAGGATTGGGGGACGGCAGGGGAGGTCACCCGCTAAGATGGGATGTCTCCCACTCCCATCCCTTGACTTGGGCTCCAGGTTAGGAGGTTAGCGGGATCTGAAAAGCCTATGTTGTGAGTCCTACTGGGTGACTCCCATCCCAGGGGTGGAGGTAGGGCTGGAAAAACGAGGTTTCGACATTCGATCTCCAGAGCCCGTAGGCTTGGTAAAGGAAATTGCAGCTTTCCTTAAGGAGGCAAGAGAGGAGGCTGGAAGGAATGTGCACACAGGACAGTAATGAATGCAGTGTGAAAGGCAAAGACTACTTACCTGAACTAGCCAGTGCAACGTCTCCCCGAAAAAGGGCCATCCCATAGAACCCTTGGGAAGAGGCAGAGAGCATGTCCGGTCTCTGCTTAAAGTCCAGCGCAAGGTCCAGAGGTGTTGTGCTAGGCTGAGCAGCAACCCCAGGGACAGTAAGGCAGTCAATGCAGCTTCCACCATTGATAGACTGCTCATCGCCAGTGGAAACATTTTCTATCTCCAAGATTGAGAAGTCAGGTGGGGCAGGATCACAGAACCCAGACGACAGTGTGCAAAAAAACAGGAGCCCCTTGGAGCAGAGGGAAGGGCAGGGGCATTGGTCCCCAGGGAACTCAGGAGCCAAAAGATTCTATGCAAAAAGCCCTTCCCAGATGTGATCTGTCTTTAAATGACCCCTAGGCTTAGGGGACAATCTGTAATGCAAGGACTCTTGCAGTAGGTAAAGACCAACCACGTCCCACGTTTTTAGTTACTTCCTTTTTCATTAACCAGGTGATCATATTGAAAGACTGCTCAACATACCCTTGCCCTCCTTCAATTCCTCAAATGTCTACCAATGAAAGTCAGTGATGAAAAGGTCCGAAGACATTCCTCTGGGGAGGAAGAAAAGCTATTACCCACCTTCCCTCCCTTCTTTCCCCCCCACCCCACCCCACCCCACCCCTCCACACATTATCTGCAGAACGACAGTCAAAACCCAGAAAACACCAGGTGAAATTCACCTGGTTCAAATCAACAAGGGATAACTGAGAAGAGAAACTCACCTGGCTGCCAACGATCATAAACACAAGAAACTGTCCACGAAAATAAACACACACCTCCTGGCCTTTATCTGTTAACCATACCGACTGCCTCGATGGCTTTTTACTATTCGATCCACCTTCACAGATGACGTCTTTATGCATATTTATGGAGCTTGCAAACTGTAGTGATTGGAGGCAGTGGAAAGCGTATATATTGATGAAAAAATACATAGAAGCCTTTTGTGACAGCTCCTAAGCAGGGGCCCTATAGGGGCCTGACTGGGCAATCAGGTAATAAGAACAGCAGATTGGCAGTTTGGCTTTCCTGGCAGAGGCGGAGCTTTTCTGACTCTGGATTCCTCCTGACACTCACTCAATGTGAGTGAAAGGGTTTGGGGGTGGGGGTGGGGGTGGGGAAGGTCAGGCTCTCCCCTAAGAACATAATCTCTGGTTTCCCAGATCACTTAGAGCTTCCTGTTATCATACAACTTCAGACAAACCCGTCCCAGTCCCAGGCAAAGACAGCTAGCTCTGGTCCTACCCTGACACTTGGGGAGTATGAAGTAAGGTTGTACTCCTAAGATACTGCTCAAAAATCTCAAGTGTCCTGCAACGGGGATCAGGCATTTTCTCTTTTTGTTCCTTTTCTTTTTAGAAAGACAGGTGATTGGGGTACTCCTGGCCCCCCTTTGGAGGTAGGAACTCCTGCCCCCAGAGAGCATGCTCCTGGTAGTTCTCATGATGTTGTTTGCTCCATAGTCAGGACTTTTTTTCTGTACATTGTGTCTCAGATATCATTGAGGGAGTAAAGAAAGAAAAGTGGTCCTCTTCAAGGAACTCCCTTGGTAGCTCTCTACAAGGAGGAATTCTTCTTATCCTACATTTGACTACTTGCGTCCATCGTGTCTGCCCTTAAAGAAGCAATAGAGACTCCAGTATTCCCTGCTTCCACTCCTGAGGGCCTTTAATATCCCTAGATATTCCCACAATCCACCAGGACAGGGATCATATGCCTTCAAATATCAGTAGGTTCCAGGATACTGTGGCAGGATACATTATGTGACATACCAATCCTGAGCCTCAACTCTGAACCAAATCCAGGGGTCCCTTTGTCTCAAATTTGGGGCAGATTTGCTATGTTGCCATGATGGTTGAGGGCTAGAGAGGCATCTGGGGTTTTCATTACCCATCTGAACTATCTGTACTCAACTTCAGCCCTGGATTTCTGGGCAGAGGAAGCCAGAAAAGAACTTGAAACAGTGTTTTGAGTGCATCTTTTTCTCTGGCATCTTCTTTTTGCTGCTACGTCCCACCTCAGATTGCTATTCTATTGTTTAGGGGGATTTCCCAGCATATGAGTTCTCCATTATATAAATTTTTTCACAGCATATTTTAGGGTAGCAGATAAGTAAGAGAACAAAAGCCCATTTCTTTGATAGTGATCCCAACTTCATCCTCACACAATTGTTGGAAAGGGAGCATTATTTTTGGATATCAAAGAAAAAAGAAGGCATTTCCTAAATTCAACATTAGCTATCATCTCATAAATGTAAATATTTCAGAAAGCAGTGAATGGCAATAACAACAAGTTTTCAACAACCTGTTCACCATTTTTAATATTTCATCACAAAATCAAGAAATTGATTGCACATACATTTTACAAAGTATAAGTGTCTTATAAGCACAAATCCAGAAAAAATGCAAAGGAGATTATATAACATGATAAGAAATGCAAGAAACATTCTCAATTCTCAAAAAATAAAGGTAAAATTTATCTTGGACCATGGATAACATAGAGAGGAAAATGTACATTCTTTTTATGTTTTCCATAGTTCATTTGGCTTTTAATTTTTCTGTTCCCATAGGGAGAATACATTGCTGAGATCACAGTGGTGACTGTTTTATGTGCAAACATATTCATACCAGCAGAGGCTGCAGATTAAATTGTTAGTTCTTATCCTTTCTTTTAAATTCTACCAAAAAACCTAGAGTGAGATTGGCTATATAAATGGTATAGTTAGAAAGATTAACCCTGAGGAACAGAAACAAAAATGCATCTTTAGAGAGTCCAAACAACTAATCTTCACATTCAAATACTATTAAATGAAATCACCCAAGTAGAACAAAGAGTGTATAGTCTTACTCTGAGTAAATATCAAGTTTGGCTTCAGGTACCTTTAAAGATTTCTCTAATCCTCCTTAAAAACAGCCCAATTAGAAAGTTTTGCCATCTTAAAACATACAGTGGTGAAAATATAATGAAAAGTCATAAAATGACAATGAATACTTTACTATCAGGCATTATCTATTACTGAATTTAGAAACCAGGCACTGATGAAAAACAGGTTACTCAAATGTAACTAGAGAAAAATACTTGCAAGAAGGGTTAAATATTTTGAAAAACATATTTACAATTCATTTGTTTCATAAACAATTTGACTAACCTGATTTTATATTTTACAGTCATAACTTTTCCTGATGATGAAAAAAGTAATCAATGTACTATTTACCATATATAAAATAGTATTCAATTATTTAAAAATACATACAAATGACAGTTATTACAGTCTTCTTGTGTAAGCCTTCATCAATATCCTTTTTCTACAGTGCATCTGTAATCAGCAAAACAAAATGTCCAAAACATGACCAGTGCTTGTTAAGTAGAAATATTGGCTAATTGGCACCAATGGAGAAAAGTGCTATAACTTTTATGTATGCTGTGACATACCATTGACTAAACTTCGAAGCTGCCTCACAACTGTCTCTATTAGCTTCTGCTTGTCTCGATCATTCTTCCTGAACTGAGCAAATATATTGTTTTTTTTGTTGGTATCCTTCATCCTGGAAAATATATAAATTTTTTTTATGAAAAAAGGCAATTAAAAATTATTCTAGTTCAAGTTAAACACTTCTCAGTGCTGAGTCAAAATGTCACAAACTAAATATCTTACTTAACATGCTTTGAATTCTCTTACATTAATCCAAGTTTTAGGCTTAAACTATTCTTTTAAGAAAACACATGCTCCCGGAAAAAATGTTTTTAATTTTTTGAGCAACCATTCATCATCCACATTAATAATTTAAAATGTTATAGCTATTATAAAAATATGTAAGCTTACTCATTCAATGATAAAACAGTTCCATAAAATATGTTAAAATACATACCCTCTATGGACTCTGCAAATCACATTCACAGCAAGACAAGATGAAAGGAAAAATAACATTAGAAAATTTAAAACCACAAACTTTTGCTTTAGTGGTATGTCTTATACTGTAATTTGTTACTGAAGAAAATTTATGTTGAATATAGGCCTATTTATTTTTCACAAATTAAATTAACTGTAGGAGATTTAATTATAAGAGCATAAGGGTATTTAAAAATTTAACTCTAAATCGATGATGTTTATGGTGATACCTAACAATGAAATGACAACGCAAAAAGACAAGTTCATCTTATTTTAGAGAGAAAATGGTGACTAAAACTGGTATTTTTTTTTTAGTTGAAAAAAAGTGCTATGTAGATATTCTCATTTCTTACCATCCAATACAAATTCTTATTTCAAACCATTGATTTTTAGACCTACAAAGAAATTAAGTTTAAAAAAAAAAAGGCACAATAGAATTTGACAGCACTGAAGTAAAATATTCTAATTTCTGGGTCATGTCTGGCAAATATCTCTACCTTATTCTGTTTTAAAACCTTTCTGCAAATATCTTTAATTCTTGTACCAGTTTCCTATGCCAGTTTCTAGTGAAGACTAACATCTTGTTAAACGTAATGCTGATCAGATTACAAGATGAGCTAATTTGCTGTTGATCTCAAAACAAGTAGAAATATTTAAATAACCACAACAGCACTGGTGAAAGGGAGATTTGCTTTTTGTTCCTTGATAGGGATTACATTTTTTAGCTTAGTTTAGACATATCCTTTTCATTGGTATAAATCAATCAGTTCTTAGCTTTGTCACCAAAATCTAAAATGTTAAAATATTCAACAAAAAATTTTCAGCATACATACTCACTTCTCCAAAAGAGTAAGGGCTGTATTTGGATTTACTCGAAGGTATTTAGAAGCTGGTTGTCCATAGTCAGCTAGGTAAGTAGACCAGTCCCAAACCATAAAGAGGTCAAGAAGCTGATGTGGGGAATTAAAAAACAAGCAAATAAAAAAACCAGACTTTTATCTATTTCCCAACAGCAGAATATACATAGTAAATACATTATCCTCAATCCATTGTACTATAGGCTTAATTTTACTGAAAATTAATGGGACAAATTTCAAACATTTCATTCACAATCTCTACCACAAATAGTAACATGAATCATTCTACTTTTAAAAATATTTAAAACTGACATGTTATTTTTCTCTTATAAGTCACAGGAATTTTTTTTAGCTAAAACTCATTTTAAAGTAAATAAAGTAATAATAGTTTACATTAATATACATTACAAACATAAAACAATTTCACTTTTGTAATATTTTTCCATCTTTAACAAAATATAATTTATAAAGGCCCTAGTGTGCTAGCTATAGCTAATTAACTAAGAAATTTAAAATATTTTAATTGAACTTTATTTCTAGAAGGTAAGTATATTTATCTTTCAAAGAAACAGTTTGCACCTAGATTTTCTCCAAAGTAATTTAAACCAGAAGCTCAGATAATCTCAATTAAGTGCATTAAACAACCCCTGCTGGATTCTCCATGGTGATAGATCCTCAGTAATATTATGAAACTGAAGATTTCAAGATTTTGCCTGTTAACTCTGACAGATAATTCTATATAAACAAAACTTTAATTAAAAAAAAACTTGTTTTCTATAGTATTTTTAAATTGATTATTTGCTTTATAAACTATAAACAGTTAGGACTGTTGTCAAATATGAAAGTAACCTTTTAAAAGCCAATGCAGTGTCTAACTAAAGCACAGAACTCTTTATCCAACTTTAAAGCCCTAATCCCCTTTAAGCCATTTAAAACCAACTTCCTATCCTCATCTGAATTGTTTCAGTAAGCTAAATGCTTTACTTGCTACCTTCCTTTAGTTTCATATTATTCTTTCTTTTTGTTTTAACTTACTTTATAAGTAAGGGGCCTGTCAGTTTTGTTTTCAAATGAAGAAAGGAAACATTTGCATTTACTTACAGGATATGTGAGCTGACCCACTGATTTAGGGGATAAAACCTCTGGTGTGATTAAAGACATCCAAAGAAGCTACAAATAACAAGTTCTTCCTTGAGAAAGTACAGGAAACATTTTACAATTTTTTTAAATGTCCTTTGGGCATAATTTCTTATAGTAATCCTTATAATATTACAGTATTTCATCAGTTACAGTCATCTATCCAATTTGATATTTATGATACAGACTTTCTGTATAATGAGAATAAATGACCTATAAGGTATCTTCCAGTTCAAAATCTATGAACCAAAAATCCTATGAAGTAATAGGATTAAAATCCATTTTATAATGTCTGCAAAGGAGTAAAACACAAATGCAAAGGCACTACAGAACTGACAGCAGAAACAGAGGTGTGTTAACTAAACTGGGTAAAAAACAAAACAAACCCAACAATGTGACCATCAGCATAGAGTGGCGGATAAAGTACTGGATTAGGGACAAAGAAAATCTGAGTTAGAATCCTATCGCTCAATAATTTATGAGCTGTGTGATCCTTGGCAAACTATTTAAGTTCTGAACCTCAGTTTACTCATTGATAAAATGAGGTTTGATCTGCTAACCTCTAGGTCCCTTCCAGTTTCTAATTCTATAATCCTATGGTGAAGAAAAGGGGTGTATAGTAATAAGATGAGTTAATTGAGCTTAACCAACTGCTTAACTATTGTAGTTTGACACTGCTTCTTTGTCCTCTCTCTTCTTTCTTTTTTCCTCTCTTATTCTCCAGAAAACTTCCTTATGTAGGCATAACTAAAAGCCACAATTTAGAAGGTTTCCTACAAGGTATATTAAATCTCTTCAGCATCATTATCCTGTACATTTATGTGGAAGCCAGAGGGAGGCATTTAGAGGTAGTGGGGAGGAATCTAGGGGGAAGATAGGTGACACAGTGAATAGAATTCTAGATCTGAAGTCAAGACAAGTTCAAATTTAGCCTTCAGACTCTTACTAAAAGATGTGATCCTGGACATGTGACTTTAACCTCTGGCTGCCTCAGCTTCCTCAACTGTAAAATGGGGATAATAATAGCACCAGCCCTTCAGAGTTGTTGTGAGGATCAAATGAGATAATATTTATCAAGTACTAAGCATAGTGCTTGGCAGAGAGAGTAGACGCTTAATAAATGCTTGTTCCCTTCCCTTCCCTCTATCAGTGACTACACTGCTATCTTTCACGACAATGTACCTTTTTGTATACAGAAGCCTGAAGGACATCTTTTTTAAAGGGCTTTCTGATGATCTATATACACTCCCCTTACCCCAGGATGAAGCAGGCAGGATATTACTTAATGAATAAGAATCTATACTAGCTTTAGATATAAACTAAGACCCTTCTCTATGATAAGGAATTGGCTTATTTTAAATTTTTCATATATAGACAGGCACTCACTTGCAAATCACTTGTAATCTCAGGAGTCTCATCTGTTTTAGTATCTACATTAATAATTTTATATATTTGTATATTCACAGATATTTTATGAAAATCCAATGAATTTTGAAGATAAAAAAAGGCTTTTTATCCAACTATGATTTCATTGGAGTGGGTATTCTACTGATACAGATTGCAACCACTCTATCCCTTGAAATTCTTACCCATATTTTGCCATAAATCTCCATGAATGATCTACTCACAATACATTAGAGTCCTTCCTCTCATCCTCCCAATCTTCCACTTAAATTGTATGCTGTTGCATATTCTTGCTACATGACCAGCCCACCTCCTTTCCACATCAGATATATCTTTAATAGTACCTTCTAATAGACAGTAGCCTGCTTGCTCCTGTCATGCTTTTATTGTCCTTTGGGTATAGCTTCTAATAGTAATCCTTATGATAGTATATTTCATGATTCACACTCATATAGCACCACCAGGAAAATACTGGTATCCTAATGAGCAACATTTTTTGGTAATTTGGAGAGCAGAGAAGGTTTGATGGATAAAGTATCATTTGGACTGGCTTTTCAAAGACAGTTAGGAATTTACCAGATGGAGCTAGTGGTAAAGGAGGAGACTCTGGTCACAAAGAACAACAGAAATACAGTGGCATATACAGAGGATGATGAGTAATCCAGTTTGGCTGAAGTACACGGTATATGGAGGGGATAAGACTGGTAAGGTATGATAGTAGCTCAATTCCTACCTGCAATGTTCCAGGAGTATTTTGGTGATGGTAATACCTTCATTAACAATGTCATTGACATGTATATTTTATTCTAACAAAGACTTTATAGAAATGAGAAAGTAATCACATGTCTCAGTATTTACTGATGTTTTATTATTGTTTTCAGTAAAAATGTCTGTGATTGTTTTTCCAGCCACTTGGTGATCTCTATTTTCCAGACAGCTTGAAAATTGATCCCTTGATACACTCGAAATTTTGTCACCTCTAGCAATTCCTCTGTATGTACTTGGTTTACTCAGCTCCTCTTTCCACCTGTTTTTTTAGTGCAATTTCTACTTCTTTCCACAGCACATTAGAGACTATAATGATAAAATCTAAATGTAGTGGCTCTATTATCATTGATGTAAAAAAAAAACCGAATCTGTCATGAACATCTTGACATATCTTTTGCATTTTTACCTGTTTATTGTCCTCCATCCAGTTCCATCCTTAAATGTTTTGGGGATGCTGAGGCTTAATTAGGTCTCATGTCAAGTTTTCTAAAAATTTGTTTTTCCTTCCACTGCTTTTCACAGTTTAATGAGGTGATATTGCTTATAATCTTCTACCATAATTCTCCATAAGATTTTATAATTAAGCCTCTATTTTCAAACTGTGTCCCTTCGTTGCCATATCTGTCTGCTTGGCAAAGAGAACATGTTTGTTGACTGAGGCAGTATCTAGGATTTTTTTGGTCTGCTCACTGTGGGAACTGATTCATACTGGTTAAGCTTCCTTAGAAAATGTTGATAACTATTGTTTTATACACCACCCCCCCTTTTTAAGCATCAACAGCTTATTTAAACAGTTCAGGCTAGAACTGCTTCAATTCCACTCTGTATTTTCCCATTTTTATTCTTTGTTCAAATTTGAGATTGATTTGATTTTGTTCTAATAAGTCAATGATCTGACTGTACAAAGATAAGTGATCTTGAAATATCTCCAACATCAATGCCTGTTAGAATATAATCAGTTTAATGTTTATTGTGTCATTTGGTATTTGACACTTTCTGACTTTCTTCTTGAAAAAAAGAATTCATAATGTATAGCAGTGAAGCTTCTGCATTTTTGAGAGTCTTCAAAAATGATTATCATAAGCACTGCAACATGGCCAAGAATTCCATAAAATTATATTTCTTGTTCCCTTTGGGCCTATAATAAAACCAACTCTGCCAACTCCAAGAATAATCTATAAGACATTTAGCTGCAACTTTCTTTTGATTTTTTTATGGTTTCATCTCTATAGAATGTCAAGATTGATGTGATACAATTCTTTCACAATATTCTCATGTAGCCACTAAACAAGGGTTTCAGATTAAGAATATCAAGAGCTAATATATATGGATGGTCTAAAAATTGTGAGATTGTTAGCACACTCTGTTCATTTGTCTACCACTCTGCTATCACCACCACAGAATCAAAAGGAGGTTAAATAAGAATGAAAGCTTTATTGTATGTTTTTCATTGTTTTATGGCTTATTCCTAACTTACAGGTCTGATTAGGTCACTCCTCTGCCCAAGAAGTTTCAATGTCTCCTCACTGCATTTAGGAGAAATATAAATTCCTCTGCTAAGTATTTAAAGCCCTTCATAATCTGTTTCTGCTTCCCTTTACCAGTTGATTACTCATTACTCCGACTCACAAATTCTATACTTTGGCCAAACTGGATTTCTTGCTATTCTTCATACATGATGTTCCAGCTCCTGCCTCTGTGTAGTTGCAGAAGCTGTTCCACATGCTTGGAAGGCTCTCATTTTTCATGTCCATCTCTTGGAACCACTACTGCCCCTCAAGGCC